AGCAACAGCAGCAGCAGCAGCAGCAGCAGCAGCGGCGGCGCTGGAGGCCGCGCGGGCCGCCTCGGGCCGCGGCGTGCAGAAGCGCAGGCGACACCTGCTGCAGCGCTACCAGCAGCAGCTGCTGCTGCAGCGCGAAGAGACGCTGCTGATGCTGCAGCACGAGCAGCAAGGACTTGGACTCAGAGAAAGTGTTACTGTGCTGCACCTTCCGCTGCTGCAGCAGCTGCAGCAGCGGGGGCTGCTGGTGGTTTCGCCCGAGGGCTTTCCGCAGCCCCGCGCGCGCCTCCCCCGCGCCCCCCACTGCAGCAGCAGCAGCAGCAGCAGCAGCAGGGCCCCACAGCGGCGCAGCACTTACGATGATTTGCTGCTGCTGCAGCTCGCGCTGCGGCGAGATGCCTTTATAGTCAGCAACGACCGCATGCAAGATCTGCAGCAGCTACACCCCCACTACAGCCAACTTATCAAGGAAAGAAGGCTTTCTTACGCGTAAACCCTAAACCCTAAACCCTAAACCCTAAACCCTACATCCTGCGAAGGAGTCGACGCCGAGTGGCGGCGACGTGGCGGGCGAGAACAAACTGCGGCAATGAGCTGTCGTTTGCGCTGCTGCTCTTGCTGCTACTGCTGCTCTTGCTGCTGCTGCCTTTGCTGCTGCTGCTGCTGCTGCTACTGATCTTGCTGCTGCTGCTGCTGTATGCTGATTTCCTGCTGCAGCTTCTCAGGGTCGGGCGCTGACCCAGGCAGCTGGTCAGTTTTGCCTTTGCCCGCGGACTTGACTGCTGCTGATATCAGCAGCAGCAAGTGCAGCAGCAAATGCAGCAGCAGCAGCAGCAAAGTCAACTGCGAGCTGGCCATTTGGCTGCGAATCGCCCGGGCCATTTTTAGGCGAGTCGAATGACTAGCAGCAGAAACAGCATGTAGCAGCAGCAGCAATTGGACGCAGCAGCAGCGGCGGCGGCAGCAGCAGCAGCAGCAGCAGGGTGCACCAGCAGTAGCAGCAGCACCAGCCTAGAGGAGGAGCCCGGAGCAGCAGAAAAGTGTTCCATCAGCAACAGGATGCAGCAGCAGCACGCAGCAGCACGCAGCAGGAGCAGCAGCAGCAGCAGCCCTGACTTGCTGCCTGCCCTCTTTTTGCTGCTGCACAGCTTGAGGCCCTCAGCCACCGTCTCAGCAGCCGCCCCCGCAGCAGCAGCAGCAGATGCAGCAGCAGCAGCAACAGCAGCAGCGCAGCAGGAAGCTCTTTTGGCGGCGCCAAGCCGCCAGCGACGGAGGACCGCGGGGTATCGCAGACGCTGCAGCTGCCGTCTGAAAGACAGCAGCAGCAGCAGCAGCAGCAGCAGCAGAATGGGACTTGGAGTGCATTTGAGATCTTTTCTCCTCCGCAGCTGCAGCGCTAAACAGCAGCGCAGCAAAAACGGGCAGACCTTTTGCTGCCCGCGGTGTCTGTACACCCCAGCAGCAGCACAGCAGCCGCAGGCCTGCCAGCTAGCTAGCTGCTCTCACTAGTGGCTAGCTAGCTAGCTAGCTAGCTGGCCGGCTAACTGGGTAGCTAGCTGGCTAGCTAGCTAGCTATGATAACGGCTAGCTCACGGGCTAGCTAGCGACTGCAGCAGCTAGCTGGCTGGCTAGCTGGCGACTGCAGCATTTAGCCAACTGGCTAGCTAGCGACTGCAGCAGCTAGCTAACTGGCTAGCTAGCGACAGCAGCAGCTAGCTAACTGGCTAGCTAGCAACTGCAGCAGCTAGCCAGCCCGGCAGAGACTCCGAGAGCTGTCTGCTGGTTCCGCTTCCAATGAGGGCCTCGCTAGCTGGCTCTTCAGCTCTGTAGGCAGCTAGTTAGCCAGCTAGTTAGCCAGCTAGCTAGGCAGCTAGTTAGCCAACTAGCTAGCCAGCTAGCTAGCCAACTAGCTAGCCAGCTGGCGAGGTAGCTTACTAAGCAGCTAGCTAGCCAGCCAGCTAGGCGGCTAGCCAGCTAGCCAGCCAGGCAGCTAGCTAGGCAGCTAGCTAGGTAGTTAGCTAGGCAGCTGGCTGAGCAGTTAGCTAGCTAGCTCGCCAGCTAGCCAGCTAGTTAGCCAGCTTGGCCACTGGCTGTCGCGATGGCCCAGTAACTGGTAGAAATGCTCTCTAGCCACAGCCAGAAGC